ATATCCTATCCACCTCCAACGTCTTTTCCTAATTTCCTCTCCAGATGAAAGCTAGTTTGTTCTATCCCAAAGTAGGTTGTTGCTGATGAAATCCGACCGATGGATGTTGAGTTTCTTGCGTAGACAACTATTAATAAATACGTGTATCTTCTTGATGATGGTTGTGGTAGTTCTTCACGTTTCAGTTCCATACAGTTGAACTACCTTGATGTTCGTATTGAAGATTCTGACTTTGATATTTGGCTGACAGTTGTTTTGAGTTCCATATGTTCTTCAAATGTAGGAATGCTGTCATTGCTTTGCCAATCCTCTCCTTTACTTCTGCATCTGATGCTCCTTGTTTATCGATGATGCGGCGAGACTCTTATTTATGGACGACCTTTGAACGAATCTTAAGTGACCTTGACAATTATTAGCCAATCAGAAGACAGTTAGTATAAGGTAAAAATATATTATAAGAAACTAATGAATTACAGTGAATATTCTTCTTTTACGTGATTTAAAACTTGTTAAGGTTTGATAAAGGTTCAGATGTTCTGAAATCGTAATGCATACGATATAGGAACTCGTTCATATGGCTCCATAATAGTCGTGCTCTGGAGCTGTGGTACGGTCTTAAAAATTCCTTCAATCTCGACCACATAGCTTCAATGTTGTTAGCATGAACGCCGGTAGTAGGGTCGAAAAAGTGGCGTTTATGCACTACGACATGATGGACATACCCGAGTCTATGAAGGCATCTATACGCTCTCCAATCATCTGTATATACTGTAGTGCCCGGCTGCACGTAGTCCTTTATAATTGGTATTATTGTGCTTGCTTGACGGTTTCTCACCCTCTGGAAATGCCACTTTTGCGTTGAGCGATCATAAATTCCAAGTACCTGTCAACTACATTTACGGAAGTGCTATTTACCCAATCTCCCTTGATACTACGTCCCCTGTTGGATTTTCGCTTTCGCACTACTGTTTCATCTATTTCCACAATACTTTCGACTCCTCTGAATGATTCGTGTAGACGTGTCATTCTAAGTGCACATATCACGACAATACTCATACCACTGGACGGCTGAAGTTTCAGTAACATCTGCAAACGCCGCAGCCAGTGTTACTGGTGCATTTATAATCCAATTTGCAACTATTATCATGATTTGCCTCAGTCGCGATCGAGCGAAGAAAGTCCACGTTCGAGCAGACTTTTTTCTCACACGTAAAGAACAACGATATACAATCTCATCACGATAGTCTACATGCTGTACTGCAGTCATTTGATAACCGCAGTCACATGTACAGGAACTCCTTAGTAGTCTCATCTGTTGTAGCCGCTCAACAATCACCTTTTCTCTAAAATCCGCTGTAAACCGATCGCATGTGAGCATCAGGTGTTGAACTTGGCTCCATGACCTTAAACTTTCTCAGATGCTTCTGATTGGCTCGTCCATAAATTAGAGTCTCACCGATGATGCTTTCCAGATATGTGAAGGATTCCATCTCTTCCCGAGTTTCTCCATCAAGTGTAATTGTGTTGGTGTTCACTGTGTTGTATTTGAGTATGTGTATGTTCAGGTCTACCGATTTAGAGGCTGCTGCTACACTGGCTGTCTTTATCTGCATTTGTTAGTGTGTATGGGGTAGAAGAACTAGGTAATCTAAGAAGTCCAGATCTTCTAAATGATTCTGAGTTGTCCATTGTATTCCTTGCTTTTCTTCAGATGTTGAGATCTTCATAATTCAGTCAAGCATCAGGAAAAAGACGAAGGGGGAGAGTAGACACTCTTGTCTGACTCCGGTCCTTACTTGGAATGCATCTGTCAGCTGTCCTCCATGCACTACTTTGCACTGTAGTCCGTCGTATGAGTTCCGGATACTGTTGACAATCTTCTCAGAAACTTCATAGTGTCGAAGAAGTTTCCATAATGTTTTCTTATCTACACTGTCAAGCGCCTTCTCGTAGTCAATGAAGTTGATGTGTAGTGACGAGTTCCACTCAACTGACTGTTCGACGATGACCCGTAGTGTCGCAATTCGGTTTTTGCACGACCGATCCTTACGGAATCCAGCATTTTGATCTCGATGTTGTGCGTCTACTGCATCTTTCAGTATGATTTACTAAATTGCAACCAATTTCTTGTGCAAATATAATGTTGTTCTGTGTAATATATGACAGTTGTGATAGTGATGTGAGTAGAGGTTATATTATTAAAACTTTGAACTCTTTAAAATGAATCAACCATTTACATAGTTTATTATAATTTCTAGTAATCTCTTAACTAAAACCAGTTCTTCAAAAGGTTTATATTTCCATAAAAGCTTTAACTAACAATTAATATACAATTCAACGGATTTATTTGTTTATCATGGACTTTCTTCAAAATTAAACAATTATTTACATAAAATAACTCAACTTCGCATGAACTAAATTTTGATATTAGATGATCAGAGATAGTAAACTAGAATACCTGCTTAACCTGAGATACGTGCTAATTGGAACTTAGTGGGAAAGTGTTCCTGAGATCTTAAAGCACTGAAGCTCCCTGTTGAGTTTAAAACCACTTTTCTCTCAGCTCAGCTGTCTAAGGGGTTATCACAAAGCTATAAGGACCTTGACTGATCTTCCTGCAAATACCCTCGTACAGCCGAGGGTGGAGAGAGTCAGCTCTCCCATTCCAAATGCTTTCATATGGCCACTACCAGGGAAGTCCTACTCACTGCCTTTTAATGGCATGGGTGTTGTTTATGAAATTAAGAGGATGAAAAGCGAATGTTCGGCGCTTTAACCAGGTTGATGGACACAAGGAGTTCACCTATGGGGGTTGAAAAACCCTGATACCAAATCAGTGGTGCATATGGGATACAGTATTCTGAAGGAACGAATGGCGTACGAGTCAATTATTGGTCGCAGGCTACCATGTGACTGATTCTTCTTATAATGCTCCACTGCCTTATGGATCAGACCTTTAGGTTAAAGACCCCGGGTGTGTTCACCTAAGAAAACCACCTGCTTTGGTCTGCGCACTCGAGCAGTATCACAACTCACACACAAATCAAATGAATTGTGTGGTGCATATGCACTCGGTGACCTCTTGTATTAATATCTATGTGTTCAAATAAATTAACAGTTAATATCTTGTAAAACTAAGTGATGCGTATTTGTATTTCATATGGAGAGATAGTTTCCTCAAAATACAAGACATTCCTTGTTGAAAAGTACCATCTATCAGAAAATATAAATCTATGGTTTCTGATTAGCTACTTTTAAACAACTAAGATCCCTACACAAATTATCGATTGAAATCTTAATTCAAAATCTATTATGTCATCAGGGAACAATAAAGATAAATCAGTGGAGGAAATTCTCTTTCTGACAATTTCATTTATTTAAGTTTTATAGTCGTATTTATAGTTGATTTATTTACTAAAAATAGAAGTGTGTTGTATATTGTGATATTGTGTTATAAATCGCTTGAAAAAACTCAATTATTCGAAAGATGTTGTGTAATAATTCAACAGTTAATATGAAATATTAAGATGAAGATAATTGTCTACTTGAGAAATAATAAGTAGAAAATTGTTAATTTTAATAGTTGAGATCATGAGTCAATTGAAGCTGAACCACCATGGAAAACGTGGAAACATTGGACGGCTGATTCGTCCTACTTTGGGACTCTTCAACAGTGCGCATCCACGATCCTGCCTTACAAGATTGCAAATCAGGACTTACGGGTCTCGCGTGCGAACGCTTAACCACTAGATCAGTGAGCCGACCGGAATCCAATGGTACTAATGTATAACTTCAACCAATTCACGATGTTGCGCCACCGTCTACCATTGTCTTCAGTGAGTTACTATCTGGTCACTGCTTCTCACTCGAACTCCAGGAAATACCTACTGAAGACAGTCACTAATGAGCATATGTTGATTAGTGTCAGAAGGGTGATAATATCTAGCAAATAGCTGTGAGAAGATAATTACAAAGGAATAGAAAAAAAGAAGATAGACTATGGGAGATAAAAAGAAAGGTTAACACCATGAAATCATGAGAGATTATGTATATTGTTTTCATACATTAAGTTTCAGGTTTGATTAGTGGGAATAGCTAAAC